CTACGGTCCTCGCTTGACAAGCATCTTGGACATAATGCCCGTCTGCCCTGTTTCTTTGGCTGGATGGGGTTCCACGTGACGACTGTGTGAGTTATGTGAGGGCTAAACGCTCGCTCAAATTTTCTTCAGTGTTCTCAGACATTTCTTCTCCTTCGGTTTTTCTCTGACCCCCGAAGCTGTGCCTCATCTCGCAAAGAAAATAGACTTTTCGTTGCAAAATGACGAATAGATGACAAGTTAAAAATGATCGAGGGGAATGAATCTGATCAAGCAAGTTAAACAAGCTTATGCTGAAGAGAAGGGAGACCAGTAATGGAACATTAAATCATGGTTTCACCCGGAACAAACATAACTGAAAGTGGCTTCCTCAAAGTCTACTGTCTTACTGATATGCTATTGCTTCAAACGTTAACTCTTTACAGGTTCTTTGGCGTTGCAGATTCAACTGATAAGGTGAAGCCTCGCGAAAACCTAAGAGAACGCATCTCTTCATAAAACGAGTGGAGAGTGTGATGCACAGTTTCTCAGACAGTAGCTACAGTTTTCTATTTCTATCATCAGTAGTTTAGTGTACCTTTAAAAAGGATGGACAAAACAGGTTATTTCAATTATTTCAATCATATTCACGAAAATGCAAAAAAATAAACAGTGCTTACATGAAGCAGGTGTGAGGAACCTGTACTCAGATCTCACGCAATGGCAATTGATTAAGATAGATTGCTAATAACCGAGATATTCAAGTAATATGCATATTCACTGCTAAAGCGTGATTCTTTCGATGTGCGTGCAACCTGATCCTTTCCTTGAATCAGAGCAGTTATATCACATTAATTCTTCTTAAGGATTCATTTTGGATCACTCTGTAAAGATCACGTGTTTTCATGTTTTCTGGGAATAAGCTTCACAACTGACTGGTAACTGACGCCAACCCGTTTTTCACAGGACATAGAACCACGGTTTCCTACTTCCACGGTACGATTACTCGTTTGATCAGAGGACTTCGGCAGTATTGTACAAATACCTCTTAAAACTTTTCTATTTATTGTTATTTAGTTCCGGTTTATGCGTTATGCCGATTTTTCACCATTTATCAGGTGGCTGGGTCGAGGAATTACAGATTTGTACATCAGGCAACATGGTCGTACACTCCAGTTCGACCATACCAGTTCCACACCTACCGTTTCTGAGTGCTACATGCAGTTGTTTCGGTTATTCTGACCTCGTCTCATCGTAAACTTATTTCTACATATGCTATGTTTGCAGAAATTAAACGGCTCATGTTCTTGAGCGTTTGAAATATTTTTACCGTCTCTAAAGAAATATCCAGTCTGGCGCCTTTTCAGTTTTTGAGGGCTATCGAACACTGTATACAATATTTCTAACCGCCGTTATGTATATGAATGGTATATAATTTTTGACCTGCCAGAAAGGGCCACGTTTTGACTGGCGTCTTTTGGTTATCCGCTTGCGTAAGCAAAAACAAAAAAAATTTGAGTTACAAGATTGCGCTTAAATCTGATCAAATTTACCAGATGCTGTTCGCAGTAATTGCCCTCTCAAAATCTGCTTTGACGTATCATAATATCGAAGTATCATATTACTTGAACTGATGTGTAGTTTCTTTGCTATTTTATGTTTGAGAACGGAATGCGTCTCGGTACTTTGGTAATTGTCAGCTCTTCACGGCATAGATCAGAGATCTGGGTCACAAGGAGTATCACTCTCTAAGTACTAGTAAAATTATGAGGTAATAGAGGATACTTCATTAATAATATATGAGTTATAAAGCTTTTGGCGCGACTGTAAAAAATGTATAAATTGGCTTTTCCTTCAGTGACGGAGGTTCTAGATCTCATTGCCAATTTTGGATAGTGATAATGAATGATGATAATCTGAGATAAGAAGACGAACGAATGGATAAAACAACAAATAAGAGCCTGTGATTTTATTGCCCAAGTAAAGAGGCAAAAGTGGCAACACGCAGCATCAGTGTTGAAGAAGGACCAGAGAGACATTAGACCAGATTCCAAGAATGGGCCAACGACCGCAGGGCGACCCCTGGATCAATGGCAGGAGGAGCTGAAGAAATTATCTGGATCAACATGGATGAAAATTGCAGAAAACAGAAGTCTATGCGATGATCTTGAAGAGTCCTTCATCCAGCAGTAAGTTGAGCAAGGCTGATGAGCATTATGAATGTTGCCATTATTATCTGAGAATGGTGCCTATTTCAGAACGGTACTCACTGATAAATAGTTATTGTTTGAAATGATGCAAATGTTTATGGTCACCTGCTCGTAATTTAATCTATTTCATTTTCATTTGCAGCGCTGCAAGATGATGTACTGGAATATACACTCGTCAGTCAAACACCTATACTCTGTTTTACACAAATATTAATCAAAATTAAATATTATGTTGAATTATATCTGTTAAATTGTTCTCGTGTTTGCAACGGAAATCTATATTTCAGTAACCAAGGCAGCAGCGATTTCTTCAGCTATGCTGACCAGGAAGCAGAGCTTCAAGGGAAGAGAGTCGTTTGGAATCGACTACTTCACCGAGAAAGAAAAGGAATCAACGGATATTCGTAAGAACTGAAGTTGAATCTATTAACTAAATGCATTCTCTTTGCGTGTTCACAAGTACAGGTATAACAAGCTAAGAAATTAGCATAGTTTCAGCCGTTATAATCTCAATCTGCAGTTCCTGTTACGCTAAAAATATCCTTGGCCTGAACGGATTTGCAAATTAGGAAAGTTTTTTTTTATATGCAGTAATTAATGTGTTATGATATCACTCAGACAGTTTTAAACACACTCTTTTGTCTACTAGCCAAATATGGTGACTCTGGTGATAGGAGCATCACTCAAGAAATTTTTAAGTAATTTTGCTGCCCATTGGAGATTAATAAATTTGCTATTGATCAAACTATGCTGTGGCAGACGAATCGTATGAATCTCATCATCTTACTTATATAGTGCACATATTCTTGATCGTTATGATTGGCGGAACGAGAAAGGATAAATGAAAACACTTACTATTCCATCCATAGTTTTCAACGAGATTATTCAGTATTTATATATTTGTTAATGCTATGCTTGAAGTGCTCCCCACGAAGTACACAGCAAGAACTTTATTACTTAATATTATAATATTAGGTTATTATACGTTGGTAGGCACAAACGGGAAGACAACGCATAAAATGTTCTTTAATTAGGGCCATCTGGCGTCAGATTGTCCTAATAAAAGAAAATTTTATACGTTGTTTTTCCGTTTGTGA